AGGCACATGGTACTGTATTTAAAGAGCTGTGACTCAGTTGAGTTGCTGCAGTGATTATCATACTTTAATTTTATTTAGCACATTTTTCCAAAAGAATCTCAAGAACAGGTTTGTGTTTACATTGTGCAATGCGTTGTCTGATACTTCACATCAATGGGTTAGTCTACAAACTAATATTCTAGGTGAGGCTGCATATGTCTCAGTAGGATTTCAACACCTTCTGCATTTTTGTACTAACAACTCTTAGTTAGCCCTGCCTTTGTGACTCTGTCCTCTCTGTGTGTTTTGCTCCAGTGTATCTAAGGCAAACTCACAGTATAGATGCACTGCACTGGTGCAAGTCTGTGTGACTTATCCAGGTGAATTATTGGGATTAGATGTACAGGTGTAAACCCTGTATTGCACTAATGTGCTATCTGTGGTGTGCAAATGGCTGGGGTTTGCACAGGTCTAACTACATCAGTGTTGCTACATTAGTACAAACTGCTGTAGTCTGCCCTGCTTGGTGACTGCTGAGGAACAATTGCTGCTAAGGAAGGACATGATCCTGTTCTCACAGTTGATTTACAGCAGTGAAACTCTACTGACTTTGTTGGAGCAGCAACTGATTCACTCTAGCATGAGATGTGTCCAGCTAGTTTCCTATAGACAACAAAAAAGGAAGTGGTGTGAGGGTTAAGGCATGTTCTTCCTTCTGGGGCTTATGATGTGGCTGCACTGCAGAGAAGTCCCTGGCAAACTGCAAAATTCCTCTCCAGCCCCTGGAGGAATGCATGGTGGATCAACACCAGTTTGAAGGGTATAATGTGTATCCCCTGTACTCTGGCTCAATGTCACTTGTGAGGAGCAGGTCTCACCTTTACTCCACCTCTTTTGGATTGGCTACAGCCATTTAGATTAGCCTGGAGCATCTCTACATTCAAAGAGTGCCAAGACAGAAACTGTACCTGTCCCCTATTTCAGTAACGCAAGGAAGCGAGAGGCGCATCTGGTCTCTTTCTCTTCTTTGTTGCCCATAAGCACAAGGCACAAACTATGCCAGATTATTTGTGGTTTTCTTCATTTTAAAGCTGCTCAAACCTGTGTCTTGCAAAAATCCCACAGGAATGGAGGAGGATTCAGCTGTGGGTCCATCTAAAATGTTGTGTCAGTGACCAAACCCACATGCGGAGAATAGCCATGTCGTGTCAAATAAGATGCTCGTTGACAGTTTCTGCCCTGAACATCTGATGGTTAGTGGTCAGCACATGCCTCAAAACATGATGGTTCATATGTGCTAGCCATACTTGTATCCTGTCTCATGTAATAGTGGATGTTCTCATTTGCCAGAGCTCAAAGCATTGGAGCTCTTGGTCTCTGTGATACAACATATAATGAGCCTCTCTCAAGGTTAGAAAGTATTTCCTCAATCGGTTTTAAATGTGTTGCTTATCAGTTTCATGGTGTTCTTGCATTATGTGGAAATATAAATAAAAGCACCTGAATTACCTTGTCTCATTACTGTGTACACTGCTAGCAAGTGCCTGCTCTAACTTAAGACATACTAAGCCCTCACTGGGTTCTTAGGGTTTATCTTTAGTCAAGTAGATGAATTATTACAACTACCAAGTGGCATAAACTTTGTGGGATCCAATAAAATGGAGCCTTCAGAAAAAGGTGGTGACTCCCATCTCCCTTTCTACCATAACAATCCTACATAAGGGGGAAAAAATGATCCCTGCATGTAACAGGAACTTAATGGATTTAAAAGAAATTGGAACTTAGAGGAATGGTATAAACACTAGAGATATGTTGTTAGGTGCAGCCAGAGATTGTTTTAGATAGGGAGAGGCCCAGGAGAAGAGTAAATGTAGGCATTTCTATTCTGTATAGGTTCTTACACCACTCTCATCATCATAGTATCTCAGCATCTTCCAATAGCTCATTAAGCATCATGACTAAGCCTATGGTTTTGTCATGGGGATTGCAGAAGTCACAGAATCCATGACTTCCAAAGAGCTCTGTGACTTCAACCTTGGTGGCTGGGAGCTGTAGGGTCCTGCTATCTCCTGCAGCATCAGGAAACCGTGAGGATTCCCTGCAGCCTGAGGCAGTGGGGCTCCCAAGTTCCAAATTGCCATAGGCAGTGGAGGGTACCCAGTAGCTCTTTACTGAGGCAGGCAACAGAAACACTGCTGAGGTTCCCCACTGCTGCAGGCAGCAGAGGGACCCTGCAACGCCCAGCTGCACAGGGGCAGGGAGACCCTGCAACTCCAAGCTGTAGTTGGTGGGGTTCCCCAAAGCGCTCAGCAACCCCAAGATGCCCATCTCCTTCCCATTTTATCATGGATATATTCAGTAGAAGACAGGGACAGGTCATGGACTTCTGTACATTTTTCCTTATTGCCCATGACCTGTTCCTGACTTCTACTAAATACACCCATGACAAAATCTTAGGGCACGTCTTCACTCACCATGCCAGAGATCGCTCTTCTGCTGTTTTATTTAACAGGTCTAGTTAAGACCAGTAAATTGAATGCTGAGGGCAACTCTGGCCGGGGCGTGTACTTCTCTCAGTGGCTTCCATCAGCCTCCCTCTGTGAAGATGGTGCCAAGCTCGGGTTAAAGTAAGGTGACTCTAGCTATGAATTCTATGTAGCTGGAGTTGCGTACCTTAACCCGACCTTCCTGGTCTAGTATAGACCTGGCCTTAGAGAGAGAGAATGTCAATCATGATTAAGGCTATCTCCTCTCCCCCCCCCCCTTTTCTCCAGAGGGAGAATGCTGTATGCAGGGGAGTTTTATTTTTTGGTAGGGTTTGTTTTTGTTTTTTAAACATACATGCTGCTTTGTGTGTGTTAGGTTGAAAAATGTTGTGTACTTGAAATTAAAATAATCAAATTTGTGATGAACTGGCCCCTGTGAGAGCTTGGTCTCCTGCACAGATGAGGTGGACAGCTCCTTTCTGACAGAGAGATGGAGTTGTCAGCCACAGTCATCGCCTAAGAAATGTAGGCAGTCTTTTAGATATGCTGAGTACAGGCTACTGAGTATCTTGGAGATAAGAGCAGAGACCTTGAACTTGACTTCATATTCTATGGAAAGCCAGTATAGGGAGCAGAGATAAGTCTGATGTGCTTGCGATAACCATGTTGCTAAGGAGAAGTGTTGCAGTGGTTTGTGTTAGCTGTAGGAGCTGATGACTTCATGTCCAGGTTTATTGCATTGCTTTAACCCAGATGGGAGGCAAGGAAGGTATGTCTGAGTCCAGCTCATTATCCATCAGACACAGTCTCCAAGCCAACAGGAGGTGGTAGAAAGCATTTCTCACAGATGCTGTTGTGTGAGAGCTTAATGTCAGTGAGAAAGCCAAGGGAAATCCTAAACAATTGACTGAATTGAACCATTGGGCCATTAGGAGAAGGAGTTACACCTGCTCTGTTCAACTACCCACCTCTAACCTGCCAATGACATAAGGGAGGGCTGGGTATAGGTAGTATAGAGACAGTTACACTGGCTTTATGCCACTTATGTATTCACATATTCCTGAGGCAAAACGCTATGTTCAAAAGCTATTCAGAATCCTCTTATTTCATTTCAGATATCTATATAGTTGTTAGTCTATTTATCAATCTGTACTGAGACTGGGTCACACGTGATTTCACAGCAGTTTTGCAAACCAAAAGCAGAATAGTACTTCTTTTGCACATTTCCTGAAGAAGGCTTTGTCACAGCAGTTTGCATGTGTCCTTTGCTGACTGTGCACTTCTAAATTTTTCAAATTCAACAAAAACATATAACTATAAGGTAACAAAGCTGGCTGCTCTTTCCTTTCCTATTAACCACACAGCCATATAGGAGTAGCAAAACAACTTATTTTAGAAAGGAAATGTTGGAGACTGCTCTATGCATGAGCAGTTCCATTAAGAAGGAAAATGGAGTTATAACTAATACAGCACCTGGATACAGACTCCTGTCTCATTTTAATCCAGTAATAGACACGATGCTCTTCACACTTTGCTGCTAAAAGCAAAATAAATAAATAAATAAAAAATGGAGAAAGGCTCATCATGCTTCACTTTCCTTGCAATGAAACCCAAGTTCGAAAGCTATTACATAGCAGATGGCTTTGAACATGCTGTTGCATAATGGAAACCTTGGCTGTGCCTTTGCAGCAGTCTCCCAGAGTTCTAGGAGACAGGAGGGTGCATTATAAGTTTCCCTGGATGATTGCCAGGGCTAGGTCCAGTCTTACCTCCAATTCCTTTGTGGTAGTTGGTGCCACCATCCAGGAGCAGCCCTTACATTCCAGGGAGGTCAAGGTCTTCTGAGCAAGATTCCACCATATCTAGAGGTGATGGGGGAGGGAGGTGCCTTTCTCTTCTTCCCTCCCCCCCCCCATCATGTCCAGGTATGGTACACCTACACATTAGCCAGCCCTGATGCTGTCAATTAAAGAGGATGCTCTGTTTGATTTTTAAAGCATTTGCTTTAATTCTTTATTTTTAATATCAAAAGCAATATTTAAGATATCTGAGCAAAATAAACTATATTCAGTGGGATTTTAGTCAAGGGCTAATTCAGTCCTACCATCTAGTAGTAAGAGATGAAAATTGCACTTCTGTACCACCAGACTTACTCCTTAATTCTTCCTTGGGGGAGAACAGGTGGAAGTAAAAGGGAGTTGGCAAATAAAGCATGTGATCCAGATAACCCTACTCCAGCTGAATATTATCTTACTCTGCAGTGTTCCATTGACTTCACTGGGCTAATTCATCACAAGGAACAGCTTGGTACAAACAAAGCTGGCAAAAATCAGCCCTGAATTAACATGTTTATGATTTGATGCCACTAAGTACGGTTTAATATAAGAAAATAGTAGTGTTTTAATGCTGTATATTTCTACTGTTGTTTTCAAGCTGTAGCCAGATCAAAGTGTTTGTTTTTCTAGAAGAAGCTGAAATTGTCTTTAGTGTACCCTTCCATGATTAAAATTTCACTGGTCTGCTATCTTCCTACAGAATGAAGAGACGTAAGTGTTCTTACAAGTATCCCATGAGGTGGAAGATCCTGATCCTGTTTTTAACAGTGTGGCTGCTTTCACTTTTGAAACTTCTTAATGTTGAAAGACTCCTATTCCCTCACAAAGGTATTTATTTAGTAGAGCATTTTTTAAGCACCTCTTCTTATGTTAGAAACAAGTACTCCCATCTTAGAAATGACTTCCAGTATGAAATCAATTGTTCATATATATATGAACAAGAACCTGGTGAAATTGGCAAGAGTTTAGAGATAAGAAGAAAAGAAATTATTGATTTAGATGATGAAGACGTTATAGCTCTGACCAGCGATTGTCAGGTGTATCGTACTCTTAGAGGATACCACCTAAAACTGGTTTCACCAGAGGAGGAAAATTTCCCATTAGCCTACTCTTTGGTTGTTCACAAAGATGCAATAACAGTTGAAAGACTTATACATACAATATACAGCCATCAAAACATTTACTGCATCCATTATGACCAAAAGTCTGCTACTACTTTCAAATGTGCAATGGACAATTTAGCTAGGTGCTTCCCCAATATTTTCATTGCATCTAAATTGGAGACAGTGGAATATGCACACATTTCTAGGCTCCAAGCAGATTTGAATTGTTTGTCTGACTTGATGAAGTCATCAGTTCCATGGAAGTATGTTATTAATTTGTGTGGTCAAGACTTTCCGTTGAGATCAAACTTTGAATTGGTATCTGATTTGAAGAAACTCAATGGAGGAAACATGCTGGAGACTATAAAGCCAAGTAGCAGCAAAAAGGACCGATTTACATATCACTATGAACTTCAGAAAGTGCCTTACGAATACATGCAGATGCCTGTAAAAACGAACATTTCTAAAGATCCGCCCCCTCATAACATTGAGGTTTTTGTAGGCAGTGCCTATTTTGTTTTAAGTCAAGCATTCATCCAATATATCTCTGAAAATTCTCTTGCTAAAGACTTTTTTGAATGGTCCAAGGATACTTATTCTCCAGATGAACATTTCTGGGCAACTCTTGCACGTGTGCCTGGAATACCTGGGGAAGTTTCAAGGTCAGCTCACGATATAACAGATCTGCAAAGCAAGACTCGCCTGGTGAAATGGAATTACCTGGAGGACCACTTGTATCCTCCATGTACTGGTACGCATCTTCGCAGTGTGTGCATTTATGGAGCAGCAGAGTTAAGGTGGCTTATAAATTACGGACACTGGTTTGCCAATAAATTTGATTCCAAAGTGGATCCTGTTTTAACAAAATGCTTGGCAGAAAAACTTGCAGAACAACAAAAGGAATGGGTTTATTTGTCTTCTGAAAGCACTTTCATGCACAAAAGTTCCTCAGGTGTTCCACTATAGCAGTACATCACACTTAGTATTATCCAGTGTCTGAGTCTCCATTGCTTTGACCTTGTACAGTCTTTTATGGGGTGCAAAATGCTACCAAATCGAATGCTCCTTCTGCTCAACTGTAAATGATTACACAAGGTGCATGAGAATCAGGCTCCCAGACATGAAGTTATATGTCATGCCTTTGAAGGACCATTACATTATTCACCATAACAGCATTGTGTCACTAATACTTTTGAAGGTGGGTCTTCTAAAAATAAGCTGCGCTTTTGAATGGTTTTGGGGGGGGCTGTTGCAGTACCTGTGGTAATGAAATGTTTCAAATTAAGCCTGCCTGTGCAATTGATAGGATAATTCCTCGTGTCTGTCCTCACACCCTTCTTCTTCTGCTTCAAAATATTGGAACATAGGAAAGAAGATATCCAGGTCTGCTACCTCAGGAAAGCTGGAAGTAAAAATTCCAGCTTCTGAACAAAACTAAAATGAGTCTAAAGAGAAAAGTCTAATGACCATTGAGCCATAGGGCTGATCCTGTGAACCCTCCACTCCCAGTCAATGGTAGATGAGGATGCTTAGCCTTTTGCAGGATTGGATCCATAACAATGATTTTTGCAATGTGAATATGATTGGATTGATCCTGGAACCTTGCCCATTGCATTAGAAGTAGCAGTGTTCTCATCTGTCTTTGCAATTAGTTTTCCTCTCTCTCAATTTTATGTTTCCATACCTGTGAATTTTGTGATAGTTGATAGAAGTGGTATTACACAGGGTAGTTCTTTGACTTCTGTATGTATTAGCCAGAAATGACAGATTTTGGAGCTCTACCAAACAGAAATTAGTGCCAGAAAATGTATTATTCCATCTCCATTGTCATCTCCTCCATTAGAAACATTCTGATGCAGAACCAGAGTCATTTAGAGCAGGAGCACCAATTTAGGATGGTGCACAACAAAGGCAGCTTCTAATGAGCATTCATTAGAAATTTGGTGTTGCATTAAAACACAAAATATTGACAAGCCCAGATCCTGAGTTGGGGCTGAGGATCACAGCTTGGGAGGGGGCTATATAGAGCCACTTTTATGCCACTTTTGTGCTTTCCAGATCCTGGGCTGATCTGTGTCAAGTCAGGCTTTCACTACAGCTTAGAACCACATGCTTCAGATTGCTTTGTCTGCCAGTGAACCCAAGGATTATCCTGATAGCCGGGGTTCTTGGGGCATGATGGAGCCCTTGCCATCCCCTTTCTCTCAGCTATGCCCCGCTACACTGGAGCCCAGGAGAAGTGGTGGGGAAGGAGCCTGTACAGCAGCTGTTGTAACCCCAAAGTCTGACTATGCAGGAGGAAGTCATCTGGGACCTGGGTCTGCCACCAAAAGAGCTTTGTACTGTCCCAACACTGCCCAGCATCTAGCTCAGAGTGTTCAATAGCATATTCTTCTTGTCTTTATACATCCATGTAGTGCTGAATTAATAACCATGCCCTGTTGTCTCATTTAGAGACTGAGACCATCACGGCTTTTGATGCACAGTACCCATGGAAAGTGTTTTAGCTGATTGCATGAAATTGTGACTCATGCTGGCAGAATTGTGGACATACATAATTTAAGCCAGTGATTCAGTCTTAGCTTTAGCACATAGGGTAGCCATGGACTAAGCCCTAGTGGTTTAAGAATGGCACTGAATGTCAGGAGTCCTGGTCTTTCCTCCCAAATCTATCACCAATTTGCTGTGTGAAGTCACTTAACTTCTGTACCTTAATTATCCCATCTTTAACATGGAAATAATGCTGTCCACCCACCTTTATGAAGCACCTAGAGATCTGTGTCTGAAGAGCCTATTGTAACAACTTCTCACCAAAACTATTTGAGACATCAGTGAAATGCATGGAACACCATTTCCCTTGATGTTTTGGTTTCTTACATAAATAAGAATTTTTTGTTAACTTCATGCAATTTAGGCTGATAATCTGCCTTTGGTACCATTCTGGTTTATCATGATAATATGCTGCATGGGGACTTTCTAGAATGTGAATTATTGATTGTATTTATGGAATTGTGTTACCACAATTAGGCTGTCATATCATGAAAGGCAGTCAGGGTATTAGAGGGTCAAACTTAGGCCTTGTTTATATAAGACAATTTGAATCAGTTGAACTAAATGAGCTTCAGAACACATCTTTAGTTAAGGCACTATGTATCTATGTGCATGGGTGCCAGGTTAGTATAATTTGTATTGTGCCCAGATTGGGTCCAAGCAGAGCCATAAGCTGTGGGGGTCCCACACTTCAGGGGGAGGTGGGGTCCAGCATGGCCTGAGAGGTTAACAGGGGGTCTAGCATTGGCATAAGCAAGCAACCTAGCCCCAGTCCACCCTTCCTCTGCCTGACACTATTCCACCCCAAGACCCAGTCCCCTTCTACACTGTTCCCCAAGCCGCCACCAGCTTCTTTTTGGCTTCGGCCCCCTCCCCAGTGTGATGCTGAGAACCAGCAGGGTGGGCTGAGGCCAGATCACTTATTGCTGCTGGTGCCAGGCCTCTTGCTAACTGCCCAGGCCACCTTGGACTCTGCTTCACCCTGAAACGTGCCCCTCCCGGCCCCCCTCCCCCCAAGCTTATGGCCGTGCTTGGACCCATTCTGGGCACCACCAACAATTATAAAACCTGGCACCCATGCACACATGTATATTGGCTTAACTAAAGATGTGTTTTAAAGCTCATTTAGTTCAGCTGATGCAAACTGTTTTGTGTAAATAAGGCCTAAGTTTGACTCTCTGATGCCCTGACAGCCTTTCATGATATGACAGCCTAATTGTGGTAAAATGTGGGGCTTAGGGCAGTTGTCCTGATTCATCCTATGGAAATATAAGCCCAAATAGTGGTGGAGCCGGGCCTATGTTCCTGAATATTAATGGAGCACAGGCATCAGGGTCCCATATAACACTCCACCTGAGTCTGTGAGCAAGGCCTTATAGACTTCCTAGACCACAGAAAATAAGGGAATGTAGAGGTGATGCTGGATGCTAAATTAATGTCACTGGGGCCCCCATTATGCTACATGTTCCTCAGAAATATTTGAAATTATGTGTGCCGAATTGTAAATATCATCATAGATATCTGTTTTTTGTGAAGATATAATCCCAAACCATTCTACCTTGTGGTGTGATGGTCTACAAAATGTTTACAAAAGCAATCTGTCTCCAAAATTTTAAATTACATTTCTGAATTATTTCCAACCCCTAATTTGTAAAATTTAACATAAGCACAGTTCTGCCCATTGAGGTTATCACCTGTCTCCAGCTTCTCATCCATCTCCTTCTCTTTATTGTCACTTGTTTGAAATGACTGGCATGAGCCTACCTATTGGCTTTTCCATTCTTGAGAAATGTGGCCATATCAAAGGTATGCTGAGAAAGTATAAAGTTTAGTGTGGGCAGAAACTTAACACACACATTTATTAATCGGTATTACACTTCACTGGGGAGTTTTTGCAGTTCTTATTAAAGCTAGAAACTCCTCCCACAGCCGCTACAAAAGTCTTCTGTATAAGTTCTTGTCCATAGTATTTTGAAACAGGGGTGCCATTTCATATTTTGATTGGGGTAGGAACAACTTTATCCATAATTCCAAGAGTTATTTAGGCACTTGAAAATTCTTGTTTTCTGGCAGATAATTTAGCAGCTAGCTGACAGGAGTCCTGTATCGTATTCCTATATAAAAGAAAGACAACTATTAGACCCACTCAGCTCTAATAACATGTTCTGGTATCTTATGGCAGTCATGTAAGGGCACTGTTAGGTTTAAAATTTTACTATGCCTTCTGAACTTATTACTAACTCTGCAGAGAGAGAGAGAGAGCGACCCTATCAGAACTCATGGGTTCTATCTCAGCTCCGGAATGGGAGTGAGGTCCTAGTGGGTTACAGCAGGGGGCAGATACATCTGGTTCTATGTAAAAACATCAGATGGCCATACTGGGTCAGACAAAAGGTCCATCTAGCCCAGTATCCTGTCTTCTGACCTAGCAAATGTCAGGTGCTTCAGAGAGAATGAACAGGCAATCATCAAGTGATTCATCCTATCACCCATTCCCAGCTTCTGGCAAACAGAGGTGAGGGACACGCAGAACATGGTGTTGGACCTCTGCCCACGCTGGCTAATAGCCTTTGAGGGACTTTTTCTCCATGAACTTTAGTTATTTTTTTATCCCTGTTACACACTTGGCTTTCACAACATCCTCTGGCACAGAGTTTCACTGGTTGACTGTGAAGAAATATTTTCTTTTGCTTATTTTAAATCTGCTATATATTAATTTCATTGAGTGACTCTTAGTTCTTATATTATTTGAAGGAATAAATAACGTTTTCTTAATTTTTCCACATAATTCACTCTGCTATCATCCTTTTAATCATGTCTTTTTTCCAAACTGAAAAGTCCCAGTCCTTTTAATCTCTCCTCATGTGGATGTGTTTGATACTCTTAATAATTTTCGTTTTCTTTCTCTGTACCTTTTAAAAAGCCAATATATCTTTTTTTTTAGATGAGTGATGAAATTTGCACACACTATTCGATACGTGGGTGTTATATCATAGATTTATATAGAGGCAATATGATATTTTGTCTTATTATCTATCCCTTCTCTAATGAGTTCAAATATCCTGTTAGGTTTTTTTATTACTATTAGACATGGAGCAGATGTTTTCAGACAACTATTCACAATGACTCCACTGTCTTAATTAGCTGACCCCACCAATAAAGAACACATTGTTTTGTATGTATATTTGGGATTATATTTTGCCATATACTCTGCATTTATCAATATTTAATTTAATCTGTCATTGTGTTGCCCAGTCACCCAGTTTTGTGAAATCTCTTTGTAATTCTTTGCAGTCTGTTTTGGACTTAACAATCTTGAATAAATTTTGTTTTCATCTGCAAATTTTGCAAGCTCACTGTTTACACTTTTTTTCAGATCATTTATGAATGGGCTAAATAGCACTGATCCCAGTACATTCCCATGGTGGACACCACTATTTACTTCTCTCCATTCTCACAATTTATTCCATCCTTTTTCCTATTTTTTGACTGGAGTACCCGACAGTGCTTTCAGGCTCATCTAATCATCTGTAGCAAAATGCAGGACAATGTAGCACTTTAAAGATTAACAAGATGGTTTATTAGATGATGAGCTTTCGTGGGCCAGACCCACTTCCTCAGATCAAAAAACCTGTAGTTTACTTCAATGACAAGCCTTTTGTTATCTTAATCTCCCTGTCTCTGTTTATAAACAAACTCCCTGCCACAAAGGATGTGCTGCTCCCAGCTTTGGAATTTATCACATATCACACTCAAGCTGTGTTGCCCTTAAGAGCTCTATCTGAGGCTAGAGTGAGATTCCTAGTATAAAATTCTAAGAGGGCTACAGCCCTCCTTCCCCAATGGTGCCCCTGTTTTCAAATGGAAAATATATTTGCATCATCAGATAGCTTTCCATGTTTTCATCCCATTAAATACAAGGGGTCAGCTCCTGGTCCCATTCCCATCTCCTTTGCACAGCTCCAGTAGCACAAAGCAAGTGGAAAACCAGCTTAACTGGCCAACTGGGGCTTTTCCCAGAGAAGATGTCCAGGCAGTCAAGGATATTACCAGTAGATAGAGGGCATGAACATTGTTGCGGCTTCTGCAGCAAACAAACATAGAACACTGCTCAAGTTGCTACTTGGCTCTCCTAAGCTGTGCTGGGGCAGAAGAATTAGTCCCCCAGGATCAGGGCGAAGGTATTTTTAGTGGCTGGAAATGGGGGAGCTTTTTTGTTGGAGGGTACTACATGCTGAGTACCTCCTTGACTATGTTCAGGATTTGACACAGATTTCATCCAAGTAAATTATTGTGAATGTCACAATAAAGCTAATTTGAATGTGACAACATCTCAGATTGTATTGAATTTCGTCTTCTGTGGTTGGTATGAGTAGTATACACAATAATTTAAGTACACTTTTATTTACTTGTGAAATATAGGTATAATCATTCCACTCCTTCGTGTCTCTATCATACATACAGTTGATCAGAGGCAGCTATTTTAGTAGCTGCTCCTTTTAAAGGTAGAGCAGTTGAATAAGTATGATACAGCTGAGAGTCGGAAACAAGACCCTGCATCCAACTACTCCAAGTCTTGGGAAAATTTAGAATTTGTAGCCCAGGCATATCTCAATTGTTGCCCAGCAACTACAACTCAAGATTTTTGAACATTCTTTATCCATTATCACCTGTTATGTCTCTATCTCACAGTTAAGAATGTGAACATACATGATTATGATGTAAGTAAAAGAAGGCAAATATCACTGGTGGGTTGGTGCCCAGCTACTAACGACTCCCAAATGAGTTGCAGAGTGAACTCTCCTCCTAGCTAGTTGCTAAACCTGTTTGCAGGAACGTCTCTCTGCTAAACCAGGGTATGTCTACACTACCACCCTAGTTCGAACTAGGGTGGTTGATGTAGGCAACTGGAGTTGCAAATGAAGCCCGGGATTTGAATTTCCCGGGCTTCATTTGCATGTTGCCGGGTGCCGCCATTTTTAAATGTCCGCTAGTTCGGACTCCGTGCCCGGGGCTACACGCGGCACGAACTAGGTAGTTCGGATTAGGCTTCCTATTCCAAACTACCGGTACACCTCGTTCCACAAGGAGTAACAGTAGTTCGGAATAGGAAGCCTAATCCAAATGAAGCCCGGGAAATTCAAATCCCGGGCTTCATTTGCAACTCCAGTTGCCTACATCAACCACCCTAGTTCGAACTAGGGTGGTAGTGTAGACATACCCTGGTTTAGCAGAGAGAAGTTCCTGCAAACAGGTTTAGCAACTAGCTAGGAGGAGAGTTCACTCTGCAACTCATTTGGGAGTTGTTTAGTAGCTGGGCACCAACCCACCAGTGATATTTGCCTTCTTTTACTTACATCATAATCATGTATGTTCACATTCTTAACTTTGGTAGAAATTTACTTTGCTCATTGGTAGGGGATTTCTGGAGTTTAGCAGGCAAGTGAATTTGCTGGTACCTTTGGCTCCAGTCCTAAGGTGTCTGAGGCATACACTTTAAGTAGAACAGGACTATTACTGTTAAGCACATAAGTCTTCA